TTGAAGGCAGGGACCACGGCTATTGCTGCTTAATGGAATCCCAGCTATACCATATTTTTATCCAAGTCACATTTAGGAAAAAAGATTTAACATCTTAGTAGAGCCTGTGGCTTATTTATCTCTCTCTTGTACTCAGACCCTGACCCTTAATTATGCTCAGTAATATGTGTGGTCTGCAAATGCCTCTGGAACTGTGCCCTCCAATATGGTGGGTACATGAAATGTGGCTTATCTGTATTGAGATGTGCTGTAAGCATGAAATACACACTGGCTTTTGAAGTCTTATTATGAAAATATACATAAAATATTGCAGCAATAATTTTATTTTAATTGCATGTTAACATGATAATACTTTTAATATATTGGGCAAAATACAATATATTCTGAAAATTTATTTGAAGCATTTTTTAATTTTTTTTTTTTTTATTTTAGAGACAGGGTCTCACTGTCGCCCAGGCTGGAGTGTGATGGTACAATCCTAGCCCACTGCAGCCTCAAACTCCTGGGCTCAAGCCATCCTCCTGCCTTAGCTTCCTCAGTAGCCAGGACTACGGGCAAGTTGCACCACACCTGGCTAATTTTTAAATTTTTTGTAGACAGGGTCTTACTATGTTGTCCAGATTGGTCTTAAACTCCTGACCTCAAGCAGTCCTCCTAAAGGGCTAGGATTATAGGCATGACCCACCATGCCCAGCTATCTTTACCTTTTTACTGTGGCTACTAGAAGACTTAAAATTGTGTGTGTGGTTTGTATTATATTTCTACTGGACAGACTGGTCTAGGGGTATCCTCTTTGAGCCTCAGTTTCCACTCTGAAAATGGTACCTTAATACTTACAGGAGGGAGGTGAGGGTCATAAGAGCGGTGAGAATGGAGTCTTACCCTGAAGGGGCGGCCTTCATGGTGGTTACAGGGACATGGTCCCTGTGTGCTTGGTCATGTGGAAGGATGGAGGGGTCACTAGGATCTTGCTGAGCCTGATTAGAATTCCAATAAGAGTTCCATTGCAGAAGCTCAGAGGAGGAGCAGTGAGAAGTGAAAAATGTGTCCAGGCATCAGGATCTAGTAACAGACCTACTGATCCTTAGCGGTCAACTCATCAAGCATCCACCACTCCTCTACCTCTGTACGTACACACACACACACACACACACACACACACACACACACACACACACACACACATATATATATATATACACTCACACTTTCCCAGGTTGCATTAGCAATGAGGCAGGTGTTGCAGGTAGACCTATCCCATTTCAATCCCAGCTCCTTGACTTGCAACTTTATACTCTGAGACACAAGTATTCATCTGTAAAACAAGGCTCATGATGCCATCCTTACAGGGATGGCTGTGGATGTTAAATGAAGTATTTTATCATATTTTATTACACTCCAGCACAGAGACTGAGGGAATAGACTTACCAGCCACTGTCTGGATTTGAATTATGATTCTGCTACTTACAAGCTGTGTGACCCTGGGCAAATCACTTAATTTCCCCTTGCCTTCATTTCCTCATCCATTAAAATGGGAATAAAAGTAGTAACTTACCTCCTAGGGTCCTTGTAAGGATGAGATGAGTCAACAGATGTGCAGAGTTTAGAAAAGTGCCTGGCAGAGAGATGGTGCTATGCAAGTGTTAGCTTTTCTTGCTATATGAGAATTGCCTGGTGGCTTTCATGTCACCCCCACTAGCCTGCCACAGTAGGGGGGAGTGCTGTCTGAGTCCCATCTTCCATACTTGTTCACCGTGGTAGGGGCATAACAGGTCAAGTGTTTGGGACAGGAGAGAAGATAACATGGAGGAAGGAGGGAAGTGGAGAGGGAGGCTGGAGCTGAAATGCTTCACAGTTTGAGTGTGGCAGGGAAGGGGCTGTGGGAAGGTCTGGGGTGGACTCCTGAAGGGGTAGAGCCCTCCTTTTTGCTCTGCTGCTCTAAACACAGCAGGAAGTGTGACAGATGCTTCCTGAACATAAGGGAACTCCTTTATCAGATGCCTTCATTTCCTCCTTGGCCAAGAATTATGTGTAGATGAACAAATGCTCACCCTCCCTCCCCTATCCATTTTTCCTGCCTGCCTGCCTGCCTGCCTGCCTGGCTGCCTGCCTGCCTGCCTGCCTGCCTGCCTGCCTGCCTGCCTTCCTGCCTTCCTGCCTCCCTGCCTCCCTGCCTTCCTGCCTTCCTTCCTTCCTGCCTGCCTTCCTGCCTCCCTGCCTTCCTGCCTCCCTTCCTTCCTTCCTTCCTGTCTGCCTGCCTTCCTTCCTTCCTGCCTCCCTGCTTGCCTGCCTGCCTTTCTTCCTTCCTTCCTGTCTCTCTCCCTCCCTCCCTCCTGCTTTCTTTCTTTTTTTTTTTTTACACTAAAATATTTTAATGTTTTAATGGCAATTTAAAAAGCCTTGCTGGCCTCTGTTCTCCAGCCACTTCCAGAATTTCCATGGGGCCCCTGCCAACCCCATTTCAAAGCAGAGCCTTTACATGGAGAACTGCATCTGGTAGAATCTGGAGTCTTCTGCTGTCTCCAGGCTGTGCTTTCAGTTGCTGGGGCTTAGGGGAGTATGCAGTAAGGCCCAGGGACAGACCATGCCTGGTGACGCATTTGGGGATGATGTTGTTGTCCCTTGCACTTTCCCAGTCATTACAACCTGATGTCTCAGGGAGGGTGGCAGAGGGAGCAGGGATTAATCTTTCCATTTTGCAGAGCATTAAACTAAGAGACGGGATCACAAATGCTTGGAAATTTGAGCTTGGGCATTAGTCACACCTGGTTTCGAAGTCCAGATTCACTCATTTTTAGAAAATCATCTTTCTTTTCTGACCCTCATTGCCTCATCTGCAAGGTGGGCATGATCATTCCTCCCTCCAAGAGCACAGTGACTTTGGAATGAGGTGATGTATGCAAAGCTCAAAACACAGTACTTGGCACCTTGATACTCAAAGGACAATCTGCTTTCCCAAGGTTCATTCTTGAGTTGTTTCAAGGAAAGTAATTTGTATACTAGAGAACTGGACAGACCAGCCTTGAATCTCAACTCTCCTAAGCATCAGGTGTTTGGCTTTTAGGCAAGTATCTTCACCCAAGCATGTCTTTCTGTCTTTGCTCTATTATCTAGTCTGTTAATTACACCTCTCTTACGAGTGTATCATGATGAGGATTGTCTGCAATAATGGATACAAATCTTCTAGGTACACAGTAGATCGCTCAACAGCGTTGCTGAAACGAGTGAATGTGCAATAACCATATTGCAGAAAGAGTATCTGCAAGTGGAATTTCTGTGTACTGAATGCCACTTAAAATACCCTACCTGAGGAAATTACATAGTAAATCCTTCCGTGAATTGAATAACATTTTCTTCTAATGTGTGTTTTTCTTTCCCTCAGTTGGAATTTTTGAATAGGTAATAGGTTTGCATGGTGCTTGATTGAAAGGATACAAAGGGTTTATAGGGAAAAGTAGCCTCCCTCTGTCTCCATCTTGCAGCCACTTAATTCTCCATCCAGGACGACCACTTTCGTCAGATTCTTGCATCCGCTCCTAGAGATGGGCTATTCATGTAGACAGATGTCTGAGGCCCCATCCGCTAAACAGCTTTCAAAACCTAAGTCCTTTTTCTTCTCTGCTCACCCACCTCACTCCCAACATGCTCAGAAGCTCTCGCCTAGTTACTTCCACTCTAGAGTGAAAAGTTTACCAAGCATTCAATCCCTCTCTTTTGTTCTCCTGTCCTTTTTTTATTTTTTAACAATTAAAGGATGGGAAAAGAAAAAAAAATCAAAATTACCTATATTTCTCTCCAAAATTAACAATGATTAGTATTCTGACATGATGCCTCTTAGTCTTTTTTCTTGATTGTTTTTGCAAGTGACTGTTCACAGCATAAATGCATGCATTGCTCTGTTCCCTCTGTGGTCTTCTGAGTGTCCCTGAAGCCCCCTGGCCCCTTCTCCTCCCCAGCCTCGCTCTGCAAACCCTGGCCCAAGCACCCCGGTCCTTTCACCTGGTGCTCACTGAGCCCGAGGGCTACCTTCCCCAACTGGCACCCATTCTGAGACCTGGGTCCCACTGGAGTGCCTTTCCTGGTACACACAGCTGGTCAACTCACTCTCTTGCTCCAGAACCTTCCAGACACCCAGAGTAAATCCCCTGATCCTCAGTTTGGCACTCAGGGCCTTCCGCTGTGCGGCTCCGGCATACCCTTCCCGGACAGCACTCGTCTTGATGTTGCTCTGACTCGCACTCCCATCCCTGCAGGCGCCCAAGCTGTCACCTCTCCCGGAAGTCCTTTCTCTGCCGCGGAAGCCCCATCTATCCTTCCAGCCCTGACTTAAATCTTCGCTCCTCCATAAAACCTTCCCGGGTCCTCCGTGTTGAAATGAATTGCTCTCCCCATATTCCTGGCGGCTCACTGAGTGGTAAACAGAAGCCATGAATTAGGTTGAAGGCTCCTTAGGATTCCGCTTGTCTCTCTCACTAGCTCATGCCTGGCAAGGACCGGGTCGTGCATGTCTTTGCATTTCCCCTGTCCTGCTCCGGGCCCGGCGTACAGTAAGCCCTTGACTGAAACGTGTGCAAAATTAAGTGGCCCGGAGTGTCTTTATAGAGGTAGGCGCATCACCCGAAGCAACAATAGCTATCAATTATTTAGTACTCACCACGGACCGTGTATTTTACATATAGCATATTTCCTCTAATCTTCAAGGCAACCTCACAAGGTTAATAGTTATTGTCCCTACTTTGGAAAGAAAGATCCAAAGGGCTCAGAAAGGTGCGGTGTCTTCTCAAGGTCACGCAGCCCAGAAGCTTCCGGGCTGTGGCTGGACCCCGGATCCGCCTCCCTGCAGAGCCTGGACTCCCTCCATTAATCACGCTGACTCCTGGGGCACTGGGGATTTGCAGGGAGAAGTCCGGGGACGGGGTCGCTGACCTCGGGGACGGTTGAGGGATTTGCCAAGCTTGGGAGGCCTGCAAGGCTGGCTGACGGACTGTGCTTCCTCGCAGGGGGGATCAGCTTTGGGAGAGCCAAGGGGACGTCGGGCTCGGAGGCGGACGACGAGAGGCAGCTGACGTTCTACACCGAGCAGTACCGAAGTCGCCGCCGCAGCAAAGGTAATGGAGTCGTTGGAAGGTTCCAGAACCAGAGTTCACAGAGGGAAAGCCTGAGAATCAGGTTTTTTTGTGCTCAGTGACAAATCCTAAATCTTCTTTGACCTGGTCCTGATCCAGTTAAACACAGAGCTTGCCTTGGCTGCCCTGGCCAGACAAGTGACCTTCATTGTTTCCTTTCCTTGCTTCATCTTTTATTTACTTTCTGCCCTGTCTCATTCCTTAAAAAATTGGGGGGATTTTTTTTTTCTTTTTTTTTAGGTCATGTAGTTTTCTTTAAAAAAAATTCGGAACAGGAATTGAAATAGCTAATCAGATTGAAAGGAAAATAGGAATAAGGGAAGACTGACGTGGGGTAATCCATGCCATACTGTGTTACGGAGCTGTTAGAAGGAACTGGAAAGTTACATCAGAGATTCCCAGCAGCCAAAGTGTAAAGGGAGGCACACTCAGAAATAAAATGTAGAGGGTCTGTGGGGTGGAACCGAGCATTTGTTCAGGAAATTCTACTTACCTGACATAGAAACCAGAGAGAATATCCTCCAATGGGTCCCTGTAAACAAGGCACCATGTGACTTTCTAGATAGTATCTTTAACAGATAAAAATCAGTATTGAGGCACAATTGTTTCACACAATAGCACTCAATGTAAGGTGATATCAAAATACTGAAGCAGGATTCCATAGAGAGCTAAACCTTGTAGCTAAGATCCATGATTCTGTGATGATTCAATGTATTCTGAAGGGAAAAGGTAGCATGTTTAAGGCAATCACCTGTGAATGTAATTCCTCATCCCTGAGTGTTTCATAAGGATGGGAAAGTGGCAAGTTTCAGATTGCATTCTTGGGAGAGACCCTGGCTTATAAACGTGTATTCCCTGCCAGGGATTAAGGGCTGATCCATGCATGGGTTTTACCAGCCACTGAAAAGAAGGTCCTGTGGCAAACATCAGGTCATGTGGCAACATGTGTGGCCCTCCCACCTCTGCAGACAAGGGAACTGAGGAAGTGCCTGAGGCAGGGAGGAGAGGAGAAATCCTTTCACAAACCATCCTGCATGCATCCTACCCATGCGTGCTGTGTGCAGCAAGAACACGGATCACATAGCTTCTCTGAGCTCCTTTTGCTCTTAAGCAAGTTAGTTACTTTCCCTATGCCTCAGTTTTATAATATGTATTTTGTAATTGCCTCGTGGGGTTGGGGATGAATTTTGGTTGCGTTACATAGAAAATTTATTATGATGCCTGGTGTGTTCATTTCATTGCTCATTGTAGTCCCTGTGTCCTGGCCTCTGGCACTTGCACTGACAAGGCCCGTGCAAGGAGGAGTGTTTCCACTGACACGTCACCTGGGAAGGGCCCGCAGCCCGTGCAGCCATCAGATGAACGGGGTCTGCCTCTCCCTCCTTCTCAGCTTCAGCTTTCTCCACTGGATCTTAGCCACAAGGCCAAGAAGTGGTCCTCAGCTTTCTGCAATCTTCTGCACTGCAGATTTAGAAGTTAGGGGTTGATGATTCTTGACCTGTCTTCTCCCTCCCAGAATTAGGGCTGGGGAAGTCAGTGGGTCCCCTAGCAGGACTGGGCTGTTTGCAGCTAATTGGAAAAATATCCATCACCGAGCATGGCTCCCATAAATTGGAGCTGAACTCTAAAAAGAAAAGCAAAAGCAAGCCGCAGGACTTGCGAGAAACTATTGGCCCAGTGCCACTATGCATTCTAGAAAGCCGGGCTGTGTTTTCAGGGTGGCGAGGACACCAGCCCCTTCCCTGCCTGGCCCTATTGCCAGCCGAACGCCAACACTACTTACCTCGTGTCTCCTCTCCACTTAGTTCCCACTAATGGCACGTCCCTCTCCCTCCTGGTTCCCATCACATCTTTCTTTTCCTCCTCAGTATCTTGGGTTTATTTGCTTACTTGTTCGCTTTAATTTCTATTTCTTTTGCCGTCTTCTCTCCTCCTCCTTTTCTTCCTTCCTCCCTTCTTTATCACCGCTTCCTTCTCTTCTTTCCTGCCTTTTCTTTTGTTCTCTTCTCTCTCTTCTTATTTTCTCATCCTCTTCCCCCTTTTCTCTCATTCTCTGCTTTACTCCCCAGTTCTTTCCTGACAAATCTTCCCTCCCTCCCTCCCTCCCTCCCTCCCTTCCTTCCTTCCTTCCTTCCTTCCTTCCTTCCTTCCTTCCTTCCTTCCCTCCTTCCTCACTCCTTCCTTCCAGACATACCATAAATATTCATTTAGTACCTACTACATGCCTTCCTCTCTTCTAAACACTGGGGGCATAAACCAAGCAACAATTTTTAAATTCCTACCCTTATGGATCTTATACTGTATTTTACATCAAAATACAAATATATTAGATGATGACAAATGCTAAGGAAAAAGGATGCAACAAGCACAGGAACTGAGAGAGCAGGGAAGGCACTGCATGTTTAGATTCCGTGAGCACAAATTACCCTACCCCTTCTGCAGGATCACAGGGAGAGCATGCCTGACAATGCATTTGATGTCGTTGAGGTTGTTGGTGTTGCTGCTGCAGCTGCTGTGGTTTTTTTTGTTGAGCGCAGAAAGTGAATTTGGTTCTAGCAAAGCCTCCACTCCAGGCAAATGAACTTAGATCCCAGTGTCCAGTTCTGTAGGTACCGTGGTTCCCCACAAAAGAGTGGTGGCTCTTTCTTGCTCTTTCTTATACTTTGTACAGAAGTCGGGGTACCTCCAGCTCTCACTATCCTGATGGGAAAAATGCGTGGTACGAAGGTGAGCCAAGGGAGGTCCGGGAGCCCTTGATGCAAGAGCAACAGGGCAGAGCTTTTGGAGCATGGATTCTGGTGCTGGGTGGCTTGGGTTCAAATCCTAGCCCCGCCACTTACTAGCGGTGCCATGTTATACATGCTACTTAACATCTCTGTGCGTCAGTTCCCTAAGCTGCAAAATGAGGATAGTAAGATTAAAACTCTGGGGAATTGTTCTAAGGATTAAAATCACTTGGTATCTGTAAAGCATTCAAGAGGAGGTTAGAAAGGGAGAGAAGGAAGAATTTGTAGGAGAGCTAAGCTGCTGAGCAAGGACCACCAGACCTACTGTGTGTGTTGTGTTGGGAGGGATCTCAGAGCTGACTAAGGTGCAACTTGCTGTTTGTCTTAATCAAGTCCCAGCTCTTATTCTGGCCTCAGTTTTCTTATCTGAAACGGGGGAGAGTGGAAGGGTGGGAGCTTGTCACATTTGATCTCTGAGGTCCCTTCTCCCTTGAGCATCCATGGGACAGTCTGTGCATTTGTGAGAATCCCTTTGCATTTGGGGTGTCCCTTTGCATCCTAATTGCCTCTCCCATGCCAATGCCTGCCCCCTTCCCTGTTGCTCTTTTGGGGGGCAGGGTCTGACTGTGACACTAGAATGGCTCTGCCATCTCCTTTGGCTGTGCCGATGGCTTTCTTCTTCCCTGCATCCCTCAGGACCCCCTGGACCCCCTGGGGGTCCATCATGTCAGCCTGGACCCCCATCATGTCAGTCCTCCCCTTTCCTCTGTCGCATGGTTCCAGCTGCTCTTTAGCAAATGCAGTGCGTCAGCAGTTCCCCGTGGTCTGCCCAGGGGCGTGCAGCATAGAGGAGGTGACAAAGTGCAAAGGCTGGGGAAAGAAAAAGATAAAACTACCAGGAAAGACGGGTCCCTGTGCTCCCTGTGCTAGTTGAGAGCAGACACCTCATAGCATCTGGGACTCCATATTAATTCCCTATAGCCCCTTCAGTTCCATCTAAAAAATAGAATCTGAGCTGTCCTTACGAACTCTAGGGGCAGGTGGGCTTGGATCAAAGCATTCAACTGACCGTCTTTGAAGTTCTCAGATGGAAGTTGTGTCTCTGGGGTCATATGAAGGTGACAGGGACAGTGGTTTCCAGTCCCAGCCCTGTGTAACCTTGGCCAAGTCACTGCTGATCTCTGAGTCTGACTTGTGTAGCTCTAAGTAGAGGATTAAGAGTGATGCTTAAGAGCAACTCAGTCAGCACTAGTTAACGTTTTCCCGGGGCCCCTGCACTGGGGCACACAGTATTGGGGGAAAATGTTACAATACTTTAGAAGACAAAGTGTAACCAGTTATTGAGTGTTTCAGATTACCCCAGCTTGGCTGGGTGTGGTGGCTCACGCCTGAAATCCTAGCACTCTGGGAGGCTGGGGTGGGAGGATCGCTTGAGGTCAGGAGTTCGAGACCAGTCTGAGCAAGAGCAAGACCCCCGTCTCTAATGAAAATAAAAAGAAATTAGCCAGACAACTTAAAATAGAAAAAAATAACCGGGTGTGGAGGCACGTGCCGTAGTCCCAGCTACTCGGGCGGCTGGGGCAGTAGGATTGCTTGAGCTCAGGAGTTTGAGGTTGCTGTGAGCTAGGCCATGGCAACATAGCAAGACTGTCAGAAAGAAAGAAAGAAAGAAAGAAAGAAAGAAAGAAAGAGAGAAAGAGAGAAAGAGAGAAAGAGAGAAAGAGAGAAAGAGAGAAAGAGAGAGAGAGAAAGAGAGAGAGAGAAAGAAAGAAAGAAAGGAAGGAAGGGGGAGGGAGCGAGGGAGGGAGGGAGAGAGAGAGAGAGAGAGAGAGAAAGAAAGAAAGAAAGAAAGAAAGAAAGAAAGAAAGAGAGAGAGAGAGGGGGAGGGAGCGAGGGAGTGAGGGAGGGAGGGAGGGAGAGAGAGAGAAAGAGAGAAAGAGAGAAAGAGAGAAAGAGACAAAGAAAGAAAGAAAGAAAGAAAGAAAGAAAGAAAGAAAGAAAGAAAGAAAGAAAAGAAAAGAAAGAAAGAAAGAAAGAAAGAAAGAAAGAAAGAAAGAAAGAAAGAAAGAAAGAAAGAAAGAAAGAAAGGAGGGAGGGAGGAAGGGAAGGAAGGAAGGAAGGAAAAAAAGGAAGGAAGGAAGGAAAAAAACCAGATTACCCCAGCTATAGGAGAAGAAAGACATGGAGGGACAGCTAAATATGTGTGTGTGTGTCGGGGGGCTTCCTGGAGGAGTTGAGGCTGGAAAGTGACCAGGG